ATATACGCATATATTGTAAATAGTTAGTATATATTAACATATAATAATGAATAATAATCATAACATTCTAGTTCTTATAATTTTGAAAAATGTTCTTCTACATTTACCTTTTTGTACAAAGTTGAAATATAATTATTGGTATTTCAAACTAAATTGTATTAAATCTTGTTTAAATGGAATGGATTTGTTTAAATTAATCATAAGTTAACTTGGACCATGGTTGAATAGTAGTGACTCAAGTTGGACTAAAAATGTAAAAACATTCTTTACAGAAATATATGCAGGATTATAATAATTTATAATATCTTAAGCAAATTTATATAAATTATATAAAAATATATAAACTATAATACTTAAGTTTAACATTTGATGCTGGGATACTATCAAAGTGATTTTAAATATTGTTAAGATAATAACACAATATTTGTTTCACATAGATTGTAACATAAAAATTGAATTTAAAGACATACTAGTTCCGTCCCGTGTCAAATTGAATTTCTCCAAAAAAGTTCCAGTTAAAATGTACACCGCTAATCATGTACGCAGATTTTGATACCGCTACCTTTACAGCTGTCTATGCAGTTTGGCCACAGATAAATTTAAGAGGATGTCGATTTCACTTAGGGCAATCATGGTTTCGTAAAATTCAAGATTGAAAAACTTACTTGACTTAAATTGTCCACTATTTAAAAAAATGATAATTCTGAGATTGGTAGATTTTTAAAGTGCATATTTTGATTTTAAACTATTATTATAAATATATATATTATTACGATTAAATTATGAAAGTGTACTAATATTATGAATACTTATATAATAACAATATTTATTTGTTTGAAAAATTATTATGACTAAATTATGAAAATTATTAAGGATGGAATAAGTATATACCTTTTTTTTAACTGGGGCGGAATTGGTATGTACCATTTTCTTTGACAGGGGCGTAATTGGTATAAAAAATGGTTCTCGGGACGGAACTCGTCGGGAGTTCAGATGCAGCCAACGTTTTAACGTTGTTTTTCGAACACTGTTGATTATTTTTATTTTAGACAACTGAAGATAATACAACTATGTAAGTACTTTTGTACTTATTATAGATAAATACCACACATAAGGTACCTACAGTGTTTTTCCATTCTTCCTAATACATTTTATGTGTGTACGCAGTATGCTTATAAATAATTAATAAACTAGATTAATTAAAAATAATTAATTAAAAAATGGTAAAAATGTGTATCGATCTTATTATATGGTGATTTTTAAAATCAAGAAAATAAAACCTTACTTTCTTTTTTACATTGATTTATGGTTTCATTATTCGCGGTTTCGTTATCAGCACAACTTTTCTTTAACGCAATCGCCGTGGATAACCAGAAATTACTGTACTAGGTACTTATTATAACGCTAAGGTAATAAAAATTTAAACGTTGGATGTCAATGAATGGTTTTATAAATATAGAGTTCGGGAAAAAATCGTAATTTTATCGATGGAGGGAAAATTTCAATGCGAGTACAATTTTATTATTTTATGTAAATCGAACTTTTAATTGAATTAAAAATAATATCTATAATAATATATATATATATTTATTTTTATTGAACTTAAGCCCGGCCATTTTTTATTTTCCGTTATTTCGTTTGCGAGATACAGCTCCTTAAAGTTTGGTGGTTTAAGGATGTGTTGATTATATTATTTATTCATTAAATGAATATAGCTCCTAATAAAGAGACTAGGAGCTATAAGTGATGAATTCGCTACTGTTTAATCCAATGTAACAATCAATAATTGATAATTATTGCACTTTGACCCCAAATCATTTATTAGTATATCGAATAATTATACATACTGACTAATGGGGAATGATTAGTTGAAAACTATTTATTTGGATTACTGGATATTTGTAACACTATCGACTACAACACCTTCTTAAACCACCAAACTTTGAGGAACTGTATCTCACAAACTACATAACAAATAAAAATTTGAATGCAAAAATTCATAAAAAAAAAATAGTTTTATTAATTTATGACCTTTTTATGATATGTTCCTATTTGAAAATCAAAAGTTAATTGTGGTTTCGTCAATAAATAAAGGTGAAAAAAACTAAAATATTATACAGTTTTAGAAAAGCATAAATTAAAAAGTTTAAAAAAAAAATTCGAAAAAGTTAATACTTTTTGAAATAATTAGTGTACTCTCTTAAATGGATCACTCTATATACCGATAGGCGATAATACTGAATAAGATAAGGTTGGTCTCACTGACACAATTTTGCCGAATCGTTTTACAACCGTGTTTCGTTTGTGCCATTATTATGTCCTTAGTTATAAGCCGTTTAACTATGGTGCCGGTAACTACAGGTACCTGCGGGGTGTGGACGAGATAGGGTCTTTTTACTCTTGTACTCCACGGTCGCTACCACCCAAAGCGCTTAACGATTTAATATTGAGAAGGTCAGGAGATGGCACATTGTAAATTACACACTCCACCGATTTATAGGTAGTTGATTTCAGGGTTACATGTATAACATATAAATTCCATTGATGCCTTTTTATACCTTATAAAAAATGTAAACTTAAGTACTTGTCATTGGTGCTTATTTTTTACTTGACAAAGTCCACTGGTGGTAAAATCCACAGACTACAATAAATTTTGGATAGCCACATACCAACTGTCAACTGTTTTATTTTTTTGAAATGTAAAAGATAATATTTTAAAATACAGTTATTATTTCAAATATTTGAACACTTGAATACTCGATTTTTCATACACGAAATATTTCTATAAATTACGATTATTCAGCCAGTTTAAAGTCAAACACATTTACTTCAGACAAACCGTATTTGATCTGTATTTGACCTTTGCACAGTATATCTCCGATTCTGAAAATCACGGGACCGGTTTTAACGCATTGTGTTTCCAATACAATACATAGTTTCCCCATATGACAAAGAACACTATATTATCTACCCTTGTCAAACCGAATCACCGCTTCCGCCCGTCTGTTCGTCGCCACACACATATTTACGATTTGTGTATGTATACATTCCTATAAAAGGACGACCCAGCAGAAAATATCGATCGTTAAAACATGGTTTTTCGTATTTCGAATGCTTCTCAGATTTTATTATTCGGAGAAACGTGGTTTGAATGAGAACAATTTTTAAAAATGTTTTAAATCGTATAAAAAGTATTGGGTATTTTCATATTTCTAATTTAAAAGATATTGAAATTCAAAATCAAAGAAATTTTCATTTTTATAAATCGTGTACCCATCTAAACTCTATGAATTAGAGTAGGTAAAATGATTTTAGAATCAGAAGCTTAAATTAAAAAATAGGTTGTGTAAGCTAAAGGCTCAGCATGTTAGTACATGGAAAGAAATGGGTGACAGTATTTTATACAACGGTTATCTATATTGTGAAACGTTCAAAATGTTCGTAAAATATCTGTTACCTAACCTAACCTCTCGCTCGACTTCAACGCCCAGATTCCAATGGCCATTGTAACGGCCGGCCAGCTGCAGCAACATTTAAGACTAAAATTGCGACAAAAATATTTAAGATAAAAATTCAAAGAAATTAACAAAATACACTAACACCAGTTCATATTATACATTTATACGAATGTGAATGCACGAGTTTGGGATAGGTCAAAGATTTAGGCTTACAACAGTGAAAGGTTATTGTATCTATCTCTCAAATGTAAAAGCAATTTCAAAAACCATTCGATCTGTCTGCAGTGGTTTATGGTAAGTAGAAGAAAAAAATAAAACATCACACACACACACACAGACACACACACGCACGTATATACACGTGCGATCGCCCGTATCATAAAAACGCATAATATATTGGTGTAATATATTATAACTTTTTTTTAAAATCATGGGTATATTTCGAGACGAGATGTGAAAGCAGGTTTTTTGGGTATAATAGTATAATAACAATAATTATATAAAAACATGTCATACAATACTATAGGAGACAATTACATTGTACGATCGATTTACGATAAATATAAGAATATAATTTTCATCTTTAGGTATAATACCTTATATAACTTATGGTACAAGGCACAACCACAGATAATCTGCTTGTATTGAACTCATTACGCATAAAAACAGCTTTTTTAAGTTATAAAATAAGGAAAGTAAAATATTTTTGTTCATTTAAACACATAATTGCAAATATTGCAAAAATGTGGAAAATTGCAAAAAGTTGCAATTTGGAATGTAATATAAGGGTGTAGTCGTGTAGAACATAGGTATAACATCCGGTGTTTATTTCAGATGATAATTTGATCGGATTTGATTTATCCTGTCTGGAAACAAGGTTGTAATAACATAATATCGATTAAATCCGATCTTTAAATTTAAATGAATAAATTACAACATGGGTGCAAACTAACGCCGAGCATTCCCGCGTCGAATAATACAATCCCCCGCCATATCGCAGCGCCATCTGCACCGTCGTACGAGTTTGGGGGTAGGTCAGTAGTACGGGTAGCAGTATGCTTGTTAGAGTGGTTGAGTACACCTGCTCCGCACCGCCCGAACCAGTTTACTTACATTTTCGGTTCTAACGTGTTTACCATGTAGTTGATTATTCGTTTACAAGTGTGCGTCACATCAGTACCTACCTCTGACCGATCCACGCCAGAGTCAACCGGCGACGAGTTGTACGATTGCAGTTAGCTACTTCCGACTGAATCGAGTAAGTTAGAAATTATAACTTAATCATAGACATATATAGATGCAATGTTTCCCTGGGGGAAGTGACCAGCCCGCAACATAATATGATGGTATAACCACCTTAAGTGGTAGTCCCGCTTTCGAGCTTTGTGTCCCGCCGTCCTCAAAGAACCTATAATACGACTGTAGACTGTGATTTTCGGCTTTTCCGAGTATGTTATAAATTATAATGTATTTTTTATAGAGACATGCGTGTCATAAACTATAAATAATGTTATTAATTATTGTTACTACGTAGTTCGCTCTTCGATTGCAACAGTTATTTTCATCATTGTCGCTAGCCGATGCACGCCCTAGCCAATTGCCAACCACTGTAGCTGCGTGTACGACTGGAGACTGTTCCGCGTAGGTATGTTATAATATATTTTTATATAGTTTTTTTATATTGTCATAACATATATATGTTATCATTATTATCACTGTTTTGCATATTAGTTACCTACGGGCCAATCTTACTATCTCCGGTTAAATGCCGGTAACGCTAACCAGCTGATAACAGATTGTATTATCTGCAGGATTTCGACACTTAAGTGTTCGTTAACTTTAACCGGGCATTCTAAGAATGGCTCTACCTAAACTGTTATTATTTTTTCAATATTTATTATCGTTTTGTGTTCGTTGACTGTTCATCGTCGTCGTCGTCGTTGGTTATGGGAGTGCTGTACACTAGGTGCCGAATCATTTTTCGTCATTTAGTTGTACCATCTCCGATTAAAGTTAGCTGAAGTTTAATCGGCCGAATTTGGCCGGTTATAAAATCTGTTATCAGCTGGTTAAGAGGACGTGATACCTGCATGTGTTATCTCTGTCTTACAAGTGCGTAACATAGCAAATTTTACGCTCAGCAGAACATGTGTAGCTCCGTTAGTTTAAAAATTAGTGTGAATTGACCTCTTATAAAATCTAAAGGTAAGATTATTATCTAGGCAACCTCATAGGTTTTTCATTATATTTTAATTTTAACGCTAGTTATGAGTATTTTAAAATTGTAAATTTTTTATACATCTTAAAATACTTATAACTCGCTTTAAAATACAAATATAATAAAAAGATTATGAGATTGCCTAGATAATAATCTTACCTTTAGATTTTATAAGAGGTCAATTTGCACTAATTTTTAAACTAACGGAGTTACACGTGTTCCGCCGAGTGTACAATTTGCTATGTTATGCACTTGTAAGACGGAGACAACACATGCGGGTATCACGTCCTCTTAAGGATTTATATAAAAGCTTGGATAATCAAAATGTAACCGTTGACGGTACAACTGGCCCTTAATGTCTAGTTTCATTAAATTAATAGAATTTAATAAAAGCCCGCCTCACACAATTCATAGTTATTTTTTATTTTATAAAAAATTAATGTAAATAAATAAATGTTTCTCCCCCACTTCTGATGTCCCAATATTTTTTTTTCGTCCATAATACATTAATAATTCTTATTTGTAACTAAATATTATAATATAAGAAAAAACTTTTTTAATAACCGATTCAAAATCCACCTTTTCACACATTAGTCAATATAATATTATATTAAATTATCTAACCTGCCACTGTACAATGGGCGTGCAATGTAAAATGTTTCTTATCTAGAGTACAATTTCAATAAAACATTTTTAGGAAATTTATAGTTGCCTATTATATATACCTTATATGTTATCAGTATAGTATGGAATCCATTCATTTATAATTTAATGAACTGCTTTAGTAATAGTATTTACATTAAAATTAAATTAATTCTATATCTATAAAATGTGTAGAATCGATTGAAAATAGTTATTATACCTACACATAATTAATTAGTTGAAGAGTAGATGAACAATACAATTGTTATTTTTATACTAAAGAATATAATTACATTTCGGAATAATAATATACTATTTTTATGTATTTATGTATTTGAAATATTGTTTACATACATTTAGGACCAAATAAAATCTGAGCAAAAAATAATGACAATGTCTGTATGAAACTGATAAAATATAAACATTATGAAAATACCTACCTACAACAATATTTCCTTATAGTTTTATACTATAGTTCATTTTCAAAAGGTATTTTAAAAATTGAGTTGATTTATTATTAATTGTCCTAATTTAAAAAGTGGTTTAGTGAAATCCGGCTCGTGGTGATCTTTAGCGAAGGTGCCTATATTCTTTGGTATACATAATCTTCCTTAGTGTTATTTCCTTTGTGTTTATTAATCTTTAAAATAAAACTAATTACTTGCCAAATTCTAAATTTATTGCTTTTATATTTAACAATTATAACTTAATAGTACATCAAAAACATAAAGTACGCGTCTGGTGAAACAAAATGTGAGTGCCATAACAAAAATTGTAATTTGTATGATTTGTTAGAAAATTATTATTTTTATTTTTTAAATTTAATCTACAAATTTGTAATAGCATGCACAATATGCTGAAACATTTTAATTAATTATATTATATGGAGAGTAGTTTTATATTTTAAATTAACTTTTTAGCATTACGTTTTATCTATTTTTCGTGCATACTGCACGTAACTATAGTTTAATTTTGACAATTATTATTATAAATGTTTTTTATTCTTAACGGAGTCCAATATTGTCTGGTGGTTGTTGGTGAAAACACCTGCCTTGTACCTAACTATTTCTAATTTTGAAAAAGTATAATATTTATTGGGAAATTATTGCCACAGTATTTATTAATAATCGTTGCAATATTTATAAAATAATGCTAACTAGTTTTAATGATACATATTTACGTTTAAGTGCCATTAAATCTTTGTTTATAGAAAAAAAATAAACGGTTTTTAAAAAATATACTTTTTATAAATATCACATTTGTTAATAATATGTTTTACACTGTTCATCTCATTTATAAGTTATACTTTTGAATATATTTTCTACTGGCTTATCTCATGCAAATGTTTATTTAAGATAACTTTTCTATGGATATGCATTCTTTAAATGAATATAACAAATAAATTAGTAAAACTTGTATGAGTTGTATGTACATTTTATTATATAGTAATACGCCATTATTAGAAGAATGTTAAAAAAATTTCATTTTCTTTATGTATATACAAAATTATCCAAAGTGATAAGACTAAATATAAAAATATGAAAAATAATACTTCATGTTTTAATTATATACTTGTACACAATGGTGCTTATATGAAATACTTGAGAAGCAGGGTTGAATTACAAATTGGTAGGTTAGCTAAATCTCTCCTCGTTTTAGTGAAAGGGGGTGATAGGCGATCCTATGGATGAGGGGAGACATTCTGGGGTTCAACCTTTAGCTTCTTCTCACTATCGATGTTGAAAGGTTATGACTCAAATCAATTACCGGAAATATTCGTACGCAAATATTGATATAATAAATTAAAAAAATATCCATAATTTAAGTATGCTAGTATTAATACAATTCTTACCTTTTCAACAGTTTAGATCAGGTATTTCATAATTTAAAATTTGTTTATTTAAAAGTAGATACCTTCGTGATGGAGTCGTCCAGAAAGAAGACCAAGCTTGCCGATAATTCCAAGCAACTTTGGGAATTGAACGTATGTGTGAGTTGCTCAAAGTTTATGGACAATACTTCAAAATTGTTGAGTTGCCTTCATAGCGTGTGCCGCAAGTGCATTAAATTGCATTCTGATATACAAGGTGGGGTTTTCTTAATATTCTGCTTAACTGCTTATCTTTATAATATAACTTAAATCTCTTAAGTCATAAGAATATAAGATAAATATTCTTCATTTATAATATATCAGTATATAAAACTTAAAAATTATGGAAAATTTGGTCAACAATTTATTTATATAAAAATATTAACACAATATTAATATTCATGTAGAACTATAGCACTAATTTCCAAGCCAGTGAAGTGGAATAAAGAGTTAAAACGAATAATTAAAAAGAAATTGTCTCATAAAAAAATTTCGAAAATATTGTATTTTTAATTAACATGCCCGTTTTTAGCTATAAATTTTTGATGTTCCACATTTTATTTATCATATAATTTAATATAATATGAAGTGTCTTTTACTTAAATTATCTTAAATTTATCTACATGATTGCCTAATTATCTGATAAGGTACTAAAATTATTAAACTTTTTGTTTGAGTGCAGTTTATTTTTATACTTAAAAAAATTATAATATAATTTATGTATAGTATTCTATGTATTATGTATTCTTTAAATACCTACTTAAGTATTATAATACATTTGTAATAAAAGAATATTTATTAAGTTTATATTTCTATGTACTTACAGTTTATTTATATTAATAGATTAGGTACCTACTTTAAAATATTTTTTTTTAATTTGCATGCAAAATATTAAAAACACAATTTGGGGGAAGGAGGAAAAGAATTGTTTTCGAATACAAATTTTTTTTTGTTACAAATAACAACTATTATTTGTTGTTTGCATTAGGATACCAAAGACTGAAAGATGCATTTTGTATTTTTGTATATGAATGTTAAATTTAAAAAGTGTATTATTCCGAATACTTAATAAGGTATATTAGAATACTTAAATGTAATTTATTGTATTAATTTTTACATTTGAACACAAAAAAAAAAATATTGAAATACATTTATTTGATTTACTTTATGACGCTAGTACATATTTGTTTATCATAATATTTTTTCCTGTTTATTTAGGTCGGTACAAATGCAAATGTAGAGTAGCAACTGACATTTCAAAAGAACTCCCAAATAGTACTCTGTATTGTGAAGAATTTGATGAAGTAATCATAAGTTATATAAGATCATACATCAACTCATATTCTTTATTTAGTGTACGGGTGCAATTTATTGGATAATTAAGTCTGTTGTAGAAGGGGGTGGCTTATTGTTACACATATTTAAGTTGGCTAAGTGTTAATACACGTTAATAGCTACGCCCAATGATTAACTAATTCGTTAAAATTACTTCAGTACCTCTTGCCGATGCCATACAAGCATAAAACATCATTGTCACACCCCTCTCCTACTCACAAATTGCACTTGTATAAAATATTATCTAAATATTATATAGATGATTATTTGATTTAAATTTTTCATTTGTATATGGTTTTTAGAGTATTATACAAAATAATTATATGGACGAGAAATACCAAACACAATTGTATGGTAAATACACGACGAAAGCTAAATGTCCAAATTGCATTGGTGTAAGTACAAGTACCTATATGGCTATATATTATAGTATATATGAATTAAGAATAAAAATATATCTTTGTTTTAAAAAAATAATACAAATCATGCAAAATTAAATTTGACGAAAATGTCTAAATCAAAATTATACAATGGTTTTTTCCTCTACATAAAATATGGTTGTTTGTTTTAAGAACCATTTAAATTTAAAAAATATTTTAATAAAAAATATCTATTATAATCTAATTGTAAATATATTAAAAATATTTATTTTTTTGTATAACAATTTATGTTTAATTACATAAGATATGCTTAAATATTTGAAAACTGAATCCTTTAATGAATCTTAATATTGTCACATAATTATGTTTTATAATTTACGTTACAGAAATTCATTGAAGTATATTGTACTACATGCAATGAATTGCATTGTTCACTGTGCCAATTAATGCGTCATCAATCTCATACATTTAAATCTATAGACAGAGTTATGGAGAATATCCGTTCAAATTTAATGTTCAATAAAGTTGACTTATGGTAAGGTTAACATGTGTTTAAATATTAAATGTAATGTATTTAATTTTTTTAATTGTTTTAAAAAATGACTCCTGTTTGAATTTCTTAAGAATAATATATATGTATATATTTTAACAGTGGTAAATTACATTTTGTGAATCAAGCAAAATTAAATATAACATCACATATAGATGATATAAAAAAACATAGACGTGATATAAAAAAAGAAATAAATGACAAATTTTCTGAGTAAGTATTACCTAATTCAGTAAAATTTAAACATGGTATAATTCAAATATGTATGAGTGTAATGTAAAATACGCAAAGCTACATTTAACTTACATATCTACATTACATAAGTACTAGAGCATACATACCTAAGACCTAACCTATATTATCTCAAAATGTATTTGAAAAAATCTACCACTATGTAATTTTAACGACGTTGTATGTTTCAAGCAAACTAAGATTCTTCTTATATTCTGCACTCAATAAGGTTTAAAATTTACTTACCAATACTTGACGTGTGGTTTGGTGGGTATCCAAAATAACAACAGTATCTATAGTCATTCTAGTCTAGGCTAATATAAATATTTGGTGAAAATTATAAGTGTCTACGGTTATTAGTTTTAGAATTGAACCAAAAAATAAAATGGATTTGGTCAAAAATTGGAATTTTCAATTTTGACCTCCGGAATGCATCAGATATATTTTCAATTAGAAAAAATGCAGCTGATGTAAAAAATCTGAACATGTTTACTACTTCAACTACCTACCCCAAATGTCGACGAGAGACAAAAAATACACACATCATTGTAATAATAATAATGCATTTATTTATTGATTAGAATATAAAACTGATTTAGATTCATTTTATCTATACTCGTATTGAATAATGACATAGCCGTTTGACTGTCACTAAGTAGCTATAACATACACTAACGGCCAATTAGCTCATTAACCTTCTGCAGTTCTGCACCACCGTGCACATACCTATGATCTCCACTGATAGGTATTTCTTCAGTGTTAAAGTAGGTTGTAGGAACCCGACTTCAATATAATTTCCATTTAACACCTGTCTGTGTAATTATTCAAAACTAAAAACATTGTGCCTTTTTTGCTATATACTTTTCCATCATGTTATCGACATTAGAGATTTTTATCTATTAAAATATACATACCCAACAAAGAACACAGTACCACAAAACAACAAATAATTTATTATTATAACATAATAATGATAATATGCTTTATGACTCAATTTTCTTGTCACGAGTGTTAAATTTCTAAACAATAAAATAATATCATAATATTATGTGTTATTACGTTACAGGATTCGTAGTCAATTGAAAAGGACCGAAGAAAAAATGTCGGAATATGTGGAGTCGTATTGCAAAGCAAAAATAGATGATTTGACTAAAAATAAAGTGGCAATGGATGGATTGACGAAAAAATACGATTTCTATTTGTATTTTTCTGAGTCTGCTTTGAAAAAGGAAAACAAGGCAGATCTTGACATAACAAAGTACGGCACGTATATCATTTAAATATATTAGAACATAGGTAGTAATCTATTGGTACTGATATTAAAGAAATATGATGCTTCCTGAGGTTTCTATAAAAAAATGCCTATCTTATACTAATATTTTTGGCCCTCCTTAGAGTTATCGGATAAAAATTCTGAAAACATTATCCATGAAGTTTACAGAAAATTACTTTATCACTTTTTTAAAATTTAACGCTTAAACACTTTAAAATGACATTTTTAATTTTAAAATATCGATAATATTGATCTAAACTAATTAATTACAGAAGAATATAAGAAAGTCGATTTCAAATAAACTGGTTGACTCTACAATAAAAAAAATGTTTCTGAAATTTTATATCGGACTAGGTTGGTTTACAATTATTAGTAATTAATAATCATGCTAATATTGATACTTATGGACAATAAAAAGCCTAATTATTATTTGTGTAGTTTTTTATTGGTATATGCATTCATACGATATGCGGCTGTCATCAGTTATTTGTATTACTTTACATTCATATACACAATAATGATCACTTACTGTCTTACTATGCACACATACACGCACGGAATTAGAAATGTGCTTAAATTGAACTTCTTTAAACCGGCGCGTGCAGAAGAAGAGGACGTGATAAAATTAGGTATATAAAAACTAAAATATCTACGTTCGTTTTAAACAAACTTCCAAACTCCATTCGAAGTGATTAATTACTATTCATTGAATTGTTACATTTAGGATCACAAAAATTGAAAAAAAATTTTGCTGTAATGTAATGGCTTATTTGTTTTTTTTTCAACATAACAATTATATCTAAAATACCTATACCTACCTATCGGATTCGTTCTTAAGAATCGTACTATAACTAGCATTTATCGAATTTGAAGTTTTTATTTGGTTATATTTGCGAAATCATCGTAATCAAAAAATAAAATGCACTTCCCAACATTTTCCATTATTACTATGAAACGATTAGGTGAGTAGTATACATTCGTATGCTCACAGTCTATTTGTTTTGGTAATGATATTATGTTCAAGCAAGAATGTCCGCTCAATGATTTTGTAGTATAACACATCACAGGGAGATTACACAGTCTTTATCCACCTATTTGTCGGTCACACAAAAATATTTACTGTTTTACATGTTACAGGGAAAATTGACAATTTTTTTTTCCACTTATTCGTCCCTTTTAAAATTATAGGGAGTTGGGGCACTCAAAATTGGTTTACAGCTTACTCAAAAATATTTACCGTATACATATTTATATATATTTTTCCCGTGTTAACTCTCGACTTTTTTACCATACTTTACTTTACAACTAAAATAACTATTTCAACTATCAAGTAAAGAACACAAATTATTAAATAAGAATTTTTATTAAGTTATAAATTAATTCTAACTTATTTTTACACAAGCTTTCTTACTTCTCTAGTAACAGATATATAAACTACAATACGATCATGAACTAATACACAGTAAGCAATTACACCTGTAAGCAATTGTAAGGCTTCAATTTACAATTGAGGATTCACTGCGGAGGCTGTAGCTGAATCATTCTGTTTCAAATTATTGATAATTTTAATTGGAGCGTTCAATAGAAATGTAGGACTCAATATCAGGTTTCAAAAATTTTGTTGTATAGTGCGATTCTTGAAACGATGTGCACATATTATGTAATAAAGTGAAATTGTTTTTTTTTGAAAAATCTAAATTCAAATTATTATACTGATAAGCTACCGAGTATTGAAATACTTACCGTTTGTTAGATTACAATTATCAATTAAACTACAACCTTTTTTAAACGAATTTTTACGTCCTTTTTGTAATAAAATTATACTATACATTTATACAATATAATATTAAATAATATATTAAATTTGGTGGTGATCGAGTTAGGTAATTTTGATCCTGTTCTCCCACTTGGGAAAAGCTTTTAAATCGAAATTTATATTAATTGATTGATTTATTAAATTCGTACGTCCAATTGTCCCCACTTTCGTTTGTCCCAAATTTTAGTTTCAAAATCCAGCTTATATTCTAGTTTTTCCAACCTCAATATAGGTGGCCATAAGTACCATGTTAAATGATAAAACGTATTATTCAAGTATTCCATTACGGTTTCTATATGGTCTGAAATCATTAGAATCAACTGAAATGTCGAATGTTAACTTGGTTTTGAATTTTTCTTTATAGACAAATGGTTGTTCCATAACTCGATGTTTAAAATCTTCAATTTCATAGCATTCCTTTTCCAGTTTAGCTTAGCACATCATAAGATCATTATTAATATGGCCCACTACTTGTATTATAGTTGCATAGAAAATGTATTATTGTTTTAGTTTACATTCGGGAATGAATTGAATGTTTGAAAATATATATAAAGGTATTTATGAGTCTTCGTTTAGATTTATAGACGAACAATAAATTCTTAAATATTGTTGTATTCCCAGTGAAACTTAAAGTAACTGATATACATACTGCTATTATAAAGCTCTACTGTTTTTAATATGAAACTTAAGTAGATATTAAATTACATTTTACATTTCATTTGCAAAGTCGAAAGAATCAATACATAGACTGAGTGATAGCTCCGCCCCAAATGTATTATTTATTATTAAAGTGAAGTAACTTTTTTCTAGTTTTATTTATTTATTTTTTTATAATACTTTTTTGTGTGTTTGAAATGCTTCAGAAAATGAATGTTTTAATAAAATATTATGTAACATGTAATCTTATTGTTTAAATCTTCTATTTCATAACTTCCTTCTTCAAAAATAAATAAAAACATATTTTTGTAAGTAGTTGAATTTATATTCGGAAATGAAATTGTACATTTGTAAATATAACAAAGCTATTTCTAAGTCCTTGTACTTATACGTTTAGAAACGGAACATAATTCATAGATAATATTATAATTGTATTTCCGGTCAAACTTAATGTAGGTAAGAGATTCATAGGCACATTGTAAAAATTCAAGGCATAAACTTTCACAATTAAATATATTGAAATCTTGATAATTTGAATAGTTACATACTTCTATACAATTCACTTCATACACGATGAACTATTTATTGAAAATCGTTTTTACATTTTTGTAAATTAATTTTTATAAATTTAAATAATAACTTGTAAAACAATTTAATAAAATAATGCGAAAATCAGAGAAAATGAAACACAATTTGATTAAACGACGGGTCGTTAGTAAATGAATAACAAAAACATGTTCAATTTAAAACTTAAAAGTAAAAATATAAAATATAAATCATTAATTAATTCATAATTTGCTATCGAATTGATAAAAACAAATAAAATACAGAGTAACCAACAACAATAAAAATTTGAAAATGGTAAATATTATTTCAGTTTTAAAAGTTTGGTGAAAAATCGAGTTTATACAGGAAAAATATTAATAAATATTGTAAAATATTGTAAATATTTTTAAGAGAGGAGTAAAACTGATTTTGAGTGTAAGCTCTCTATAATTTTAAAATAAAGTAAATATTTTGATTAAGCAACGAATTCGTGGACAACGGTTGTGGAAAATCTAAAGGTAAAATGCAATACGATAAATGTTTTTGAATGAGTGGTAAATAAGTCGACAATGACAGTGTAATCTAATCTTGATGTATATGATCAGTGTCCTTTGAGAGATAACATTCCTACTTGGACAAATAAGTAATAATGAATAAACAGTGAACATACAAATGTTAGCAACTTTGGTGATTTTATTTTAAATATTAAATTATTGAATAGGTTGATTAGCGCGAAGACATTTTTATTTTTTTTACTAAAGAAGGGAGCCTTGATAACTTTACCATCGGCTTGTTTTACTTAATATGTTACTTAAATAATTTAAATTAAATTGTACAGGTAATCCAATGTATTTCATATGTACAATTATATTTTTGATGGATTCTTCATTGAGGCTCAGTGCGCCTTGAAGGTGTTCAGGTATATTGTATTTTTGTCGGGCCTCATGCGTGTCTCTAGATTCGGTAATGATATGTTTGATTTAAGTTGCATATCCGCATGTTAGACATGTTCTTGGTAGTTCTGTTTTCATTAGAGGGCTACGTGTATGGTGTATGACCTATTATGAGGCGATTTAATTTACACAGCTTTGTAATTTATCATTATACACAATTCTGTTGCACATGAATATATTTAATTATATTTGAAATATTACACTTTTAATTGTTCGTAAGAAATCGATACCTTTCAGTTCCCTATTACCTTTCACCAAGAAAATTTGTCACACATACGATCCACCATCTTTACTGATAATAATTTACATATCATATGGTTTAATAATACACACTCAATTTGTTATAGTATGATCAATAATCAACTGCTGGAAGTCAGAAAAGGTTTCACGAAAGACATTAGTAGATTGTATACAACTAATCCTGCAAATATCAATTTAAAAGTCGAGCTTGATGATACACTGAATGAGTTAATCGACTGTAAGTATATAATATAACTGTTCGTCAAAAATGAATAGACAAATGCCGTCAGTGTGAATCGGTTGACAATGCATAGATAGTTTTTAATATTATTATTTGTTTTGTATAGCCGTTAGAAGAGTTGCAATTTATAGACCAAAAAAAGTTGAAGAAGCAATTAATGCATTGAGCCAAACATGGAATATTACATTAGTTTCGGATTACGAAAGTGTCAATAGGGTAAGCTTTTGAACTGTATAAATAATAAATAAACGTATCAAACTTGTCACGTCTGCTGTTAAACTATAAATCATATGAAAGTGAATAATTAATCATTTAGTAAGGTACGTGTTCAGCCCCTGAGAAGTGCGGGGACGGATCCAATGGGGGCTTAGGAGTACCGCCTCCCAGGAAATATGAGTACCCTCTACTGAACACTACTATTGATAAAATAAATACTATAAATATTAAATTCTGCATTTATAATCAATATATATTGTATTTGTGTTGTAAATAAATTGTTCGGCCCAGATCCGTTCCTGGTGTAATGCCCGTCTTTGGTTTCGAATGCAGAGTAAACAAATAATGCATAAATTATAACACACAGGGACTGATTTAATGAAATTATGGCCAATTGCACCAACTCGTTTGAAGCCCCAAAGTTAAACATTCTCCTGGAAAAAAAGTGCAGAAAGTGTAGGAAGAAACGTCGGTAATAATAAAAAAAAAACACTTTTGTTTGATGTGTTAAATACCTATGTGTAGCACCCATTGAGTACTATAAATATAATGTTTAGTTTATTAGTTAGTTGATTTTGTAAATTAAGGATAATAAAGATAATATAATATTAGGCAATTAAATAAAATATAAAATTATAATATATTAAAACATTATAAATACTTTAGAATTTTAATGCAATTAAAATTAAAATTAATTAGGTAATTTGCAGTCTTGTATTTAAATGGAAAAAAATCTTATTTATTTAACAGTTTATTATACAGAGTTAATAATTAAAATGAAATAAAAAAATTATCAATTTCCTCTTCTATAAAATTTGCAGCAGCGAATTCAACAGCTTTCGTGATTCCCAGAATTTGGGTCTCAAATCCAAGTGCATCATCTGCACTGCCGTAAATCAGGGCCTGATAATATTCAGTTATTTGTAGTAAGTATTCAAAAGAGTACCTACTACTTTCATCCTGTACAGTATATTTATTTGTATGAGGAAATTGAATCCTTTAAACAAAACTTACAAGGTTGGTAATAGCACATTCTGTGATATTACCAACAGGCATAGGTATCTGTTCATTTTTGGAATAGGAAGAATATATTCACATATTATTATGTAAGACAAACATTTTTATTTTATTTTTTTATTTATTGTAAATTAAATTGTTTTAGCACACTTTGTGCTATTATAAGTGTTTATACAATACAATTTTAATAGTGCTTCTAATAATTGTATAATGTAAGTTGTGACTGCGGTTTTGTGGACTAGGTATATGGTAAAGACTAATATGATGACAGTTGATGTGAAAAAACTCACAAATTGTTTTAGTTATTGTTTAAATGTTTAGTTTTATGCCGGATGACGGCCTACTATTCTTAACACGACAAGAGAGGCAATTTGGACACACGAGTGCTGGTCGGCTTTGGGGCTCTTATAAATAATAATACAAAAAATACTTAACTAAATAATTAAAGAAATATAACAAACAAAAAGGGTAATCCGATGGGCACGACAGCATTGGTGTTGTGGCGGCGGGGGAAGTGACAACGGCAACGACGATGATGATGAACAGGTGAACGGCGATGGTTACAGAAGTGACGGTGTCGGTGACGGCCAAGGTGGTAACGTTAAGGCTGTAGTAAAAAATGCCGGACCTCGAACTCGTCGTCGTGGCTGTGAAACATAGGCTGAACATTGCCGTGTTGGTGCGAACGATCGCAGTGATATCGGCAGGCCGTGCTACGCCTTTGGACCGGTCATCTTCACCTGCGCTATCACTCGTTAGTTATGACACGTCGGTTATTTATCGTTCGTTATGACCACCGACAGAACCTAATATTTTGATGATTAGAATATAATGACATTGATAATGAGTAAAACGATTCTTGAATCTATTGTAGGTACAACAAATATTAATTTCAATGGTTACAATACAACACAATAGTTATTGCGGGTATGTTATCATGTAATATAGATATAGACGATTTTTAAAAGGGGGTTGAGAGTTTAACGCCTAGAAATGATTGGATACTAATAAACACATTATCCAGTGTATAATATACTTAATAAATTGCCAAGATCTGAAATATTAACTTCACATTTTTTCCCTAGATTTCATTAATAATTGTATTAATTTGTTTCAAATTTTCAAAATATTTAATTTATAATGCTCAATTACGACTTACCATAATAGTTTTACGCCTGGGATAATATTTGAAAGTGAACTTTTTAAAGAGGTTTGTATTAGCGTCTAGCATTGAAAATAATTAATCTAAAATTTAAATAAATAAATAAACTAAATCAGTTTTCTTCGAAAACTTTGTTTCCCAATCGTCATCAGAAAAAAACATGTTAATATAATGTCCACCTAGTACATTTTAAATATGCAGTAAGTTTGAATAATTATTTTCAAGCAATAATAACAAAAATATTTTTAATTATATTAAGTAGGTTCCTACTTATAAAAAATCCATAGCATTACAGTCACAAGAACTATTATTATCACTAATTTATTTATTAATGTATTGATGTTTGATACGCAAAAAAAATATGTAATAATAATCTTAAAAATATTTTAAATTGAATATAGGTAATATATTATATAATATGATTTATGAGTCATAATAAAAAAATAACATTAATAATCAATTTTGTGTATTGTCATATTGAAGCATAAAAAAATGATTTAAAAACATTTTGGCATATGAATATATTAATTAAGTGTAAATGAGATGATAACCAATTTAAATAATCTCTTTTTTATGTTTTAAGCTAATAAATATTTTATTTTACTGTACCAATTTCAAAATACACGAAACTAATAATTATTATTTATTATTAACTGGAGACTCCGAGAGACTTTTTTTTACCTTGGATTATTTAACCGGAATATTTAGTATCTAGATTTTTTTTCCGATTGCCTATATGAATTATGATTATTATTTTTCAGATAGTTGTAGACATTCCAAAAACCATTGACGATAATGCAATGGTCGATATAATCAGATACAACCGAATTAAGAAGGAGAAAAAATCGTCTGCAAGTGTTTCTTCACCTTCAAATTCTATTCGTATTTACACCATTGTATGATGTACCTTTTGATACCCATGAAGTGGACTATGGAATGTTTCAACAAGACGATGTCAAAAATACGAAAACCAGTAATAAAGATAAACCGGAATTAACTGCTGGACAACAAGTCTGACAACACTTTGTTTAGCTAAATTTTACCTGATCGACCTCTTAATTAAACACTGAAACTTTAATTGTAATATGTACACAAATTATTACACAGGTATTACACACCTACCTTGTGTATTTTAACTTTTAAATTTAAGAATTAAATTAAATCAATTTACATATTATTCAACTGTTTAAACATTTGTTTTTACAACATACAGTTGTTAAGCTTGCCTGATATTTTTTAACTTTTAGTAATTTAATTATAGTTATTATATTTTAAAGAAAAATGAAAAAAAAATGTAATTATGTGCTATGTTTATTACTGTAAATTAACTTTAAACCTTCAGAAATAGGTACACAATTTCTTGTGCTGCTGCACTTTTCTTTTGTGGTTTTAATTCTTTCTTTAAGCTTCAACAATTCATGGAAGTATTCAATTTTTTTTATAATATTCTTTAAAAATAATTTCTCATTAAACAGTTTTTAATGACAGCTTTTCTTAAGCTCTAACAGTGTGCTGTAAATAAATGCTTTGGTAAATGTTATTGTTCATGTATTAATCCTTCTACTTTCCCATTATTACTATTTAATATGAATGTAAAATAAACTAATATTATTAAATATTTTTTGAAATACAATTTTTAAATTGTCTTCGATATTAATCTAATAAATTCCCCTTCTACTAATTGATATTTATCTGTAAATATTTGAGACTACTTCAATGTCTTAGAATTTATTTTATACTATTACTTTACTGAATTTTGTGATTATGTTATGTTTTACTATTTAATCTTATTATTTTTATTACTTTTATTATTATTATTATTAATCAATCACTAATGCGGTTGCTTGATGACCAATACATTTTTTTATATTATATAGAATACCTATGTTTTATTTTTATTTAAATTGAAAATGAAGTATAGTTTGGTTTAATTACTTATAGTATTTTACTCAGTCTATGGATCACCACTCACAGAGAACATCCCCCATCATGCCAATCACTGCTTCTACAATGCAACTTAGGTCACCTACAGTGTGTTTACCCACACCCATTTGATTATTATTTAGTATTAACCATAATTCGAGTTGCCTTTTTTTTGCCTCTGATTTCATATCTTGCAAGTATTGTATATTTTATATTAGCAGTCAGCCGAATATTGAACAATTTCTTAAATATAGGTTGTTAACAACCCCCCCCCCACAAAAAAAACCAGGAGCCATGATTTTTTTTTAACTGATAATTTTCGGCGAAATCAAATATGATAAAACACCTACTTACTATTATAGCTTAGTAGTGTTAGTATGAAATATTGATACCTACCTGCGTTCTGTGATAATATAGGTAATATAAATCTATGATATTCACTGACATTTTCTGTTTTTCTTTATAATTAATGTTGGCATTAAAAATAAATTGAAATTTTTACTCATCAATATAATTCAAATTTTGATGTAATATATTATTATTTAAGTGATGTGTGACAAATTACAATAAGTGAAACAAAAACTGAGTACTTCAAAATGTTTCAATTATAATAATTCTTTACACATGTAGGTTTATATTGGGCTATGTCTTTATTAGCATTGGCACCATGATTGTAGTAGGTCTACTGTAGTAATATAGTATTGATGTATGCATGATAAAGACATTTATAAATGTACATTTCGAAATCCATGTTTTAGTTTTCAAACAATTGTAATATGTAAATAATTTTAGTTGTAAGCTAACTATCTACTATTATAATTAACTTCATTTTTAAAACAATTACTTTTTATGCTATAGAATATTGTCTTGGCTGGGGAGGAAATTATGCCGATATAACAATTAACATTACTCTTCCCTAGGCTTCACTCTTCTTTTAAGTGGCCCATCATGGCATTTAATGTTTCACTTAATGTGACACCAATGTCAGTCACATTGAAGATAACTAAATAAGTTTAGCTTATTTCTTAATTTCTTAATTTTAACACATCATTTACAGTATCAAGTAATTTAATAT